AGGTACGCTGGCGGGAAGCCAACCTGGTCTCTTGCATGGAAGGAAGAATTCAACCACTGGACCACTGCTGCCCCCAAGTTCTCAGCCCCACACTCTTCAGCTAACACGCATGTGTGCATACACACGCGCACACACACAGAAAGGCCTGAGCAGTCACTAAATCCTGCCTCCAGAAGCGCAGAGGGGAAGGACAGCCTCACTCCCAGATCAAAGGCTTGTGGCCGAAATCACTCGGGGGACAGTGTGTCAAAGCAGCAGGAGATGAGAACGCCACCACCCTGTCTTCTCACACACTCTTCAGGAACCAGTTTCCCAGTTCCGTCGGAGTCTCCCTACAGATGACTGAAGATTCTCCATAAATCCGCAACCGTTGCTCCAAAGACCCACTTAAAATTAAAAAGGAGATAATCATGGAAGAAAGCCGTTAAGGCCATTATGCGATTAGCTTCTTCCCTGGAATCAAGCAGACTAGGAGACGGGAGCCCAGTGCTGCCCCATCTTCCCAAGGAGCTGGCTGCAAGGAGTCTCAAAGGGTTTGTCTCAAACTAGCAGGGGGTGGGGAAGCACGCTCATCCTATTCCTCTCTTCCCTAGGAGCCTCCCAGTCCCATTTGCTGGCAGGGAAAGGGTGGACAAATGGGGGGCAGCACACGTCACCACCAAAGTTCAAAGAATGAGCAGCTGAGTCATCTAAGACCCTGCCCTTCGCCTAGCCCCCCCCCCCGCCCTCCACACCCCAGGACACAGGAGGCGAGCTAAGGCCTCTCTGGAGAGGTGCACAACAAACCCCCACATGTTCATCCTCATGCTGACAAGACTGTGTACTGACCCTCCCGTGGGAAGGGAGAAGGGCTCACCCAAAAGGCAGATACAGCCCAGGCCCTTTGCTAAGAGGCCCTGGCTGGGGTTCAAACCAGCACGATCCAAGCCTGGCTCTAAAATGGAGCTGAATTTGCCAGTCAGCAAACTTTCTGCATGCCCCTTCCCCTGTCTCCCCCACCCTTCTTATCCTGTGAAAGCAAGACCCTCCAGTAGGCAACTTAGGACCAGAGAAAGGCAGATGAGTCACAGGAAAAGCCACCTTTCAAAGACACAAATAAGAAGTCCAGGCACTTTCCTTGGGCAAAGAACGCTTGGAGAACACTCCCATTACTGCTAGACCAGCACCCTGTCCTCACCATCTTGTCCTCTGTCCCAAAGGATAAAAATCAGAAGATGAGGGAGGAAAAATATTCAAGTTATTTTACTACTTCGAGGCTAGCTCAGTGCTGCTGTCAATCAGAGGTAAGCCTGGCTTTACCTCTTTCCCTACTTCCTGTCCATAAAGGAGTTGTGTACTATGTTGGGGGGTGGTGAACCACACTGAAACATCTGACTGTCGCCTGTCACGTGTTCCAAAACAACAATGTGGCAGCCAAGTTTAAATCATAAAATCTGACAGCTGTTGGTTTTCTTAGTTTTTCTTGTTGATCTGGATTTTGAGAATGGCTTGTCAATGAGTCCATATTTTTGTCTGGCCTTCTGCCTCAGGAGGGAGCTCCAGTGGCACAGTGATTAAAGTGTTTGGTTGCTAACCCAAAGGTCGGTGGTTCGAAGACACCAGCCACTCCACAAAGAAAGATGTAACAGTCTGCTTCGGTAAAAATGTTAACAGCCTTGGAAAGCCCTATAGGGCAGTTCTATTCTGTCCCCCAGGGTTGCTATGAGTCAGAATCAACTAAACAGCAGTGGAGTAGTGGTTTCTCTTGGGGGGGGGGGTGTCCCTCAGGACAGGTTGGCCCAACTACAGCTTCTGCATGTTTCCTTCTCAATGGGAGTAACACAGTGAAGATGTAACACAGTGCCTTAGAACAGGAACTCCTGAATATCTGATACAAACTAGCTCCTGCAAAGGAATTCCTTTGCCTGGATTCTACTGAAACTTCCTTTATTACAGTTCTCGACTCAGAGTTTCTCACCTAGAGCACTCAGATCCCCTATGACACTTACTGTAATGGCATCCGCCTTTCCTGTCTGTGGTGTTTGTATGGTACCATCCCCATCCTGGTCAATGACACCAACCCTGGGGACCAGGGGCGGCCTACAGACCCAAGCCTCACAGAATTTGGGCAGGATAAGAACAAGCAGCCCTTTCAATAGCACATGAAAACAAAAACCCCAGCACGCGCTGTATTCCTCGAGGTTACTGACATTCACCATCAGGTGCACTACCCTGTGGTGTTGGCAAGCAGGAGCCAGGGGCTTGCAAAAGTTTTGTCCAGGCCATAATCATGCTCTCCATGCTTTTATAAAATGTAGCTTAGTCAGTTACATACTTACTTACTCTAAAGATGAGACTGTTGCAATCCTGAAATAAGCATTTCCAGGCTCTCAAGCTGATACTTCATACCCTTAAAAAAAGTCCCAAGCCCCAAAGACACACTAAAAAAAGGACAACAGCACACAGTGGCGATAAGGACATGCTTCTTGGACTACCTGTGACCAAGACCAGAGGAACTAAGCTCAGATAACTCCAGCACCTTGCTAGCAGTCCGCAGTCGGAGATGTATCCTAAGGAACTAACCCTAACCATCTCTGGGTCACGCAAGGTGAGCCAAGCCTGTCTTGGGAGTGTCTAGGACGCATCACTGGAAGTCATGATGATGAAAACTGAAATCTTGCTTATTTTAGCTCCTTGCCACCGGGCGGCCCAGTTGGCACTGCATCCACACAGCAGTTACATCCAAACCCAAAGGAAAGAGAACTTCTTTCTCTGTCTGCTGGGAGAGCTCTGCCGAGGCCTGCAGAGAGGAGTTTGACTTGGGCCTCTTCCACCCTCCCAGAGTATTCACTAAAGGCGGAAAAGAAGAAACCAGAATTAAAGTTTCAGGTGGCTGGGGAGCCCGAGCAGATTTTTCATTCTGCAATAGTTAGCAAGTGTCTCTCAATCGCTCTCCATCAATCAGGACCGTTTGCAGGACAACTAGAAAATAGCACCTCTGTCCCTCAGAAAGCTCAGCTATTTCAGAAAAAAGGGCTGGGAAAGGGAGGTGACCCGTGTCATAAAGGCAGAAGGTCTCCAAGTCATTCAATTCCTTGTGATTCCAAAAGGCCTGTTTTTCAAGTGTGAAAGTGCTTGCTTCTGCAGATGCAGAAGATGTTGTTAAATAACACTTGTGTAATTAAATAAAAGAGCAAAGTGTGACCCCAGCCCATTCTGAGAGGCACTTACATGCCTTCTGAAAACAGGCTGCAAACTAAACGCAGACCATCTCCTTAGTCCTGTAATTTAGGGGCTAAAAGAGAGGAAAAGTCTCCTTGGCCTTTGCATAGCTACACACCCTCTGAAAGGGTGCCTTCAGGGTCTCTGCAGAACAGAATAAACCCAAATGCAGGTGTGCAAACATCCAGGTATGTGCCGCTCACCAAAGAACCCATTCTTGCATTATTTCAAACCTCAGTCTCCTTCCCCCTTCCCTGCACCCCATCTCCCCACCTCTGTTCTTAATTAATTTGCAAGTCCAAGTAACAAGAGGGATTGAGTCAAGCACCAGTGCCTGTTCTAACAACAAGGAACAGACCTGAGTTCCTTGTAGCAGCTCTCAGCTCAGGTTACCTTAGAAGGTGTCTACTTCCCTATGGACGACAGTCTCGGCCACGGTGCTCAGCCTCCCACTCCAGCCCAGCCTACTGTGCAACTCGTGATTTTTTAGGGTTTCCCTTGAAACCTATCCAGAAACCACAGTCATTAAATGAACATGAAGGTTTGACACCTTCTGAATTTAGGAATGAGGGGGCTCAAGGGGCCAACTCTACAAACTCGCACCTGCTGCTTGGTGGCAAAGAAACGGAGTGCCCCAGCTAGGGTGAGGTTTCAGTGATGCTCTTTCCTTAATGACCTGTCTCCAAGGATCTCCAAGCATGGGATGAAACGAGGGGTAACTCTCTCACTATACATACACCCGCTCCGAGGCTTCAGTTTCTTTTACTGCCTCATCTTGAGATACTTTCGCCAACCAGGCCCTGGCCTGATGGCGAGGCCTCGCCTCCGTGCCCAGTGGGCTGCCTGGCCTCTCTGGGGGTGACTGGCAGTGGTGTCTGACAAGTCTTCACAGCCTGTAACATGTTACAAACAGAACCCTCCTGGGTTCACCTCAACAGTGGTCACACACACTGTTTAACACACTGTGGACCCCTGTGCCCAGGCACTGTCCTCTCAGAATACAGCGTGTGGGAGCTGTGCTCTTTGTCCTCAGGTGAGCTGTTTTTCCAGCATTACAATCCAGTCTCTCCAAAGCAGAAAGAAGTAGTCTCCAGAACATTCTTTTTCCTCCAATCCTACAATGATTACTTTTGTTTGTTTTGTTGTTGCTGTTTTTTTGCCTTTTGTTTTTATTTCCTGCTACTGGCCTTACTTGGGCATTCTTCCTCCTTTAACAAGACAAAACTCTTAGCTCTCCCCTTTCCCAATCCCGTCCCCTCCCCCTCCCCTCTCCCTCCCCCCAATGAAAGCTGCTCCGTTTTCCCAGAGGCTGACAGGCTAAAATTAGAGGGTGAACAAGTGATCACCAAAGGTGCCTTCCAGCTCCCAAACTCTGATGCTCCCTTTCATTACGTCACAACGGCCTTCTTTACATTGTTTTGACCTGACCAGTGACTTCTCTTGGGATGGAAAGGGGGTATTTTTAGGCGGGTGAACCCAAACTTCTCCATGCCACCAGCATTGCAAGCATTCAGAAGGCAGGAACTGATCCAAAAGCAAAATAAAGAGGGGAAGGAAGGACAGAGGGCAGGAAAGGAGGGAGGCAGCAAAAGGACTTTACTTGGTGTCCAGCGGACTGTAGGTGTTCTCACCCCAGAGAGGTTCCAACTGGGCTCTAGTAGTTCAAGTGCATCCAGCCTGCCCTTCCCCCACATGCCCCAAGAGAATGGGAAGTTCAGCCAAGACTCACAGCACCTGCCTGCAGCTCGATGTCGGCTGCGGGACCGGCGGCTCGGCGGGGGGAGGGAGGCTTCACTCACCTGACACACAAAGCCTCCGCACACCTCCGGAAGGAGGAGACACTCGCAGGTCCGGGGGCCGCGCCTTGCGCGACAGCGGGAATTTCCAGCGGCACCAAAGCCCCGCACTTAGCCACCCCAGGCGGCATTCTCCCCACCTCCCGCTGCCCCTGGGGCTCCGAGGTGGCTCTGGCTAGGTGCGGGGAGGTGGGAGGCAAGGGACTGGGGCTCATGGTGAGGCTCGAGCGGTGGCCTGCCCCTCCCTGGGAGGTAGGGTCCCCCGGGGCGCGGCGGCGGGGATTCACCCACGGGGTGCGGCGCTCGCTTCCCCCCCTCCCCCCCGGCCTACCCGCCGCCTCGGCCGGCCAGCCGCCCGCCCGGAATCGCTTTATGTAAATGAAGCCCAACTCGCAGTTTGCAGCGCGCACGGCCCGGCCAGGGGAAGGGGGGCGAGCGGGGCGGGGGGCCTTCGGGGATCCACATTACACAGCAACAAAGCGGAAGGTTAATTTGAAACTCACAGCCCCGCCGCCGCTTGGCTCTCCGGGCAAAGCCTGACATCTACAGTCGTGCCGGGCGCAGGCCCGGCTGCTCGGCGGCGGCGGCCGCACCCGCGCCCGCAGGGACACGGGCACGCGAGGCCCGAGCGCTCGGCCCCGCTCTGGGCACGGGCCTCCGGGCAGGCCGGGGCCGCGCGCTCGGGCCGTCAGACCTCAGCGGCTCCGCCTGCGCCACCCCCGGGAAGGGGCCCGGTGGGAACAAAGCCCGATCCTCCCGGAGGCGCTGGCCCCTCATCAAAAGTCAGGGGCCAGCCTAGAACCGTGTGAGAAGGGAAGGGTCGAGCCCTCGGCCACAAGAAGTTGTCTCGGGCCTCCGAACCGGAGCCATCAGTCTCTGGGCCCTGGCCACGTCACAGCCAGACCACTCTAGCACAGGGACATTAGCCAATGTGGACGGGAGTTTATTCGAAACACACACCCAGCCTATTACATGCTTTTCAGAGCACTTCTGTTTTTCAGCTTGTAGAAACTTAGAAAAACATCCCCTGCTCACCATTGTGAGTTTTAAGTATAGAGTTTTCAGTGCAAGACAAACATAAAAGAAAATAAGAGACGGGAAAGGAAAGAAAAGGAGCTGCAATTTGTAGTGAAGCCTGCAGTCTCTTTAACTCCCCTTAGAAGCCACATGGGCTCAGATACACATAGATCATGCCCTTCATGAGGGAATTCTACTGCCAGGGTCAAATTTAATGCGGCCACCCCGGTTGGTCGGAGCAACCGGTGGACACTTTTATATCCCCCCAGGTTAACCTTTTTCCATTCTGATAGGCAAGGCAGCCCCAAAGAAATCGCACCGGAAGTCCCCTGTCTTCCCTGCCAGAATCCCACCCATGGTCTGAATAAACTCCTGTTTCTCTTGGAGCAGAAAGGCACCTGCTTTCTCCCTTTCGGAAAACCACCCACCCAGGCTGGCCCCACAGCCTTGAGAGTCTTTTCCGACTGCACAATAATGAACCATGCAAGTGTTAGAAATATAATAAGCTCACAAGGAGAAGAGCTGTATGTATGGAATTGTATTAGCGTTAAGCACACACTAATGTAAGGGAAAAAGGGATGCCTCGCTGGTGAATACTGTCATGTCCTCATATGCAAGAGATTTCACACAATATAATTTGGATTCAAATGAATATCCAACCTGTTAGGTGCAAACAACCCCTCTCTACATTTTAGTCCAGGCGGGGAGAAAAAAAAAAAAGACTCCAAAAAATGAGTCCAGCTAGGGCCTGTAGGGAGGGAGGTCTGGTTAGGGACAAAGGAGGACACACAAGCCAAATCCAGTCACATGTTGTGCTGGGGAGGAAAGAAAGTGGAGGGTGATTCTATAAACCAGAGCATGGTCACTACAGAGCCACTCCCAGACCTCCTGACTTCAGGCCCAAGGATAGGTGGCATTTTCAAAACACATTTATATTAGCCACATGAGCTGAGGACACCTTAAAGAAAACCAATTAAGAATTTAATTGAAAAAGTGACTATGAATAATACATGAAGATGATGATGCCAGCAGTAACGCAAGCAACGTGGCACATACTGCGGAGACGCCCCTGGAAACGTCTCCCGGAAAACGAAGACTTCCAGCCCCAGTGCCTTACCTGGAAGCAACGCACCACCCACCAGATAAATGAAGGACCGTAAGAAAATGTTGACCCTCCCAGAAAATCTGATTTCACTGCTTTCTGATAACTTTTATTAACATGGGACAACCTCATAATCTGGTGACATCACAAGCCTGGTGGGGCGACAGACAGGTATCTTCAATAAAAGCTAGAAAGCCCAAACAACAAAGCTATAAGCGAGCTGGAAGGACGCAGAGGCGCTGGGCAGAAGGCCCTGAGGAGGTCTGTCCTGACCATGTCAGTGGCCCCATGTCCCAAGTGCAAGCCACTATCTTCACCTCAGAGGCCTGGCACATAGAATCCAGAGCAGTCTTGGGTTCCTTTCCTTCACTGTAATCAGGAACTAGCTGCATCCATGGTGAGGCCTAGTCAAGCCTGCCTTTATTACAGGGGCAATTTAACAGGTAACCCACTGGCAGGTAGGTAATCTATGGCCTTTATTCCATGAAGAACCTAAGGGATTGCACCAAAGCCAGGGTGTTGCCTCTACCAAAACTTATTTTTTGGGGGGGTACAAAAATAATCCCTCTGCAGAGGGAATCTACAACTTGTGCACTTACATATGGAATCAACAGTTTCTCTGAAATGCATGTTGCAATCTCAGTCCTCCAGCTCTGGAAGGCTGTAACTCTTCTGAAAGCCTACCTAGCAATGACAGCCTGACAGTCTCATCGCTACATCAGAACACTGTTGACAAATAAACCCATTCTCAGAAAAGGCAAATCTTCCCTTCCAGTTCTTCATAACCACTCTAGTCTCATCTGGAAAGCATAACAGGCAACAGCCAAAAGCATAAATATTTGAAAATAAGTCAGGGAGTGGTGCTAACCCCCTTCCCTACTCCTCCCCTTACCCACTCTCCAAGCCAGAGGCCTGCCCTACACTTTGTCTTAGGTGGACGGTAAATTACACAGATCCCAACAGAGCCAAACCTGCTTTTCTCCCCCCACCCCCCAAATACACTTGCTCTCCAATTCTGAATCCTTTCACTTCAGCAAAGGTAAATATGATCTCAGGGCTGAGATACAGTGAATGTCAGCATTCTCACTTCTAGCTAAACCCGGGCTCTGTTTTTGCAGATCCTATTTTATTAAATTATACATACGTATTGATTTAAAAACTGTGCCTAAATAACCTTGAGGCTTTAACAAAGAAAAAGCCAGAAGAGGGCAAAAGAACAGAAACCCAAAGCCCCCCCACTCCCCCTCCCCCCCGCATAAACAAGGAAGTAAGTTGGGAGCTGAATGACATCTTTAACTCCTGAGTTCACCCCCTCAGTTCCAGGCAGTTGTATTTAGGGGTCTGGTACCAGCTGGGTGGCCAGACGCCGTGACTATGAGGCAAAATGCAGGCTTTCCCCCAGTCATACTTGCCCTTCACAGGCACTGGAGGCTGGCACATCATGGCCTACACACAGATGTGTTCATTCACATCTCATGGCTTCCATCTAATGCTATGGTCCTAATTCCATCGATTAATTTCCCCAAAAAATCATAGGGGGACTGCTATGTATTTTACTTATCAGCACCTCCAGCTCAGCCCCTGAGCTGACAATGACACACACAAAAAAGACACAAATGAGTAAACGAGCAACTCTTTTTAAAAAAGCAGGATTCCAGAGAGCTTTTCTGAATTCATGGTAAGTTCCAAAGCCCAAGTTTTAAAAAAGCAAAAAAAAAAAAAAAACATAAAAAATAAGAGTCGGCCTGAAAACAGCTTTAAAATGTCAGGTCATAAGCTCTTCTCATTTTTTTTTTTTAAACAAAAATATTATTTCTGAAAGGTAAAGAGAATTTGCCATGCAAGACTTTGATACCCAGGGGGATTCTTACATTTGTGTTTCTAAACCTTGAAATTGAGAATTTTAATGAAAAGGCAGACAGATGCTTACGGAAACCACTGCAGTCAGAGTCCACACATAGCAGGAGAGAGAGGTGCTTTGTCTGGGGCCAGTGCAAAGAGGTAGGCTCCTGTTTTGTGCAGGGGCCATCTCTATGTCTGCCACATCCACACTCTGCCTGGTGGAAGCCACTGAATTCTTGGAGGGGAAGGAGGCTGGAGGCAGAAGAAAGGAGAAAGGAACCGGCAGAAGAAAAGCAAACGGAGGAGTATTGCCTCTTTAGATAAACTGGACTTAAAAACAAAAAAAAAAAACAAAAACCTCAACCCAGTATCAGTCCCACAGTGTGTGTACCAAGACTTCTCCAACGTGAGTTAAAACAATGTACTCAATTCTGTAACAGAAGCACAGTAACAGGACCAGGATTTTTTTTTAAATGAAGAATTTCAGTTGGGTCTCCTTTTCTCTTCTTCCCAACAACCCCTGTGTATGAGTGAGGAAAGATACTAGAAGGTAAACAAAAGATGACCCCTTTCTCGCGTCCCCCAACTAGCCAAGGATCCCATTTCCCTCTCTCTCCATGTTAGCACATTTTTGCACAGAATCTGGAAGAGGCCTGAGCTGAAATTTCCCATCTCCCCCTCCAAGCCAGCCAGTGTTCCAGAATTTGGATTTCTATGGAGGGCTACTGCAATCGCCAGCCAGGCCTACGGTAAAATGTGCTTCATGCTGTTCCGTTTGTCTCTCTGCAGACAAATAGAAACTGTGAAATTTAAAGAATGGATAAAAAAAAAAAAAAATCTAAAACAAAGAGGTTAAAAAAAATTGGACAAATGTTTTTGCTTTTGTGTCTCCCTAGAGCAATTGTTTGGGGGAGTCTGCAGTAACAATAACCATGAGAAGGCATCTAAAGGCTATGTGCGCACAAGGGGACTCCTTGCCTCCTGCCTTTGGTCTGGGAGAAAAAGCACCTTAGCTCCGTTCTCCAGGAACAAAAGGCCAGGGCCAGGGAAGGGGGGAGAGGTGACTGGGGCTTTCACATGGAGCCAAGTGTCAATGCTGCTTCATTTTTCACCCGTCTTAGTTGGAAAGCAGCTCAGGGAACTTCCTAATGGCTGCTCTTTCCTCTCTCCGTATTCTTTCTAAACCTGAAAGAACAGTAATTAAAAAAAAAAAAAAAACCCTAAATCCCATCACCCCATTAAAGGAAAGTCTTTGGAGCCCACATGGTCAGGTTTCCTCTCCTTCTTTTCCTCCCTCCTACTTTTTTTTTTTGAAGGGCGGCAGGATTAGGTTTCCGATTGGAGCTCAATGGAAATCAGGGAAACAGGACATCACCGTCATTCTTAGGAACACCAGCCCGGCCTTTATATCTACGAAAAGGCAGGGAGCAGAAAAACAAATGGAAAAAATGAACAGGGATGGGGGCAGAGGCTGTGGGGAAATGCCTTGAAACATTTTCTTTTCACAGCATGAAGCCCACTAATGCCAGCTTCAGATCTGCAACTGAATCAAAGTCCTTCATTACAGGGTTTTTTGGGGGGCAGGAAGGGGAAAAGAAGAAGTGGACAATAAGAATGTATTGAAGACACAGTCAAGGTATGGTGGGGACTGGAGTGGGGGTGCCACAAAG